TTTTTTCACTGTGCTCCTTGACTTTTATTACTAGAGCTTGCAGAACCTCTGTGTTTTCAGCTATTAATGTAGTATCATCAGCATAGCACAGGTTATTGATGTTTCTTCCTCCAATTTTAAAACCTTGCTCATCTTATTCCAATTCAGCTTCCCTTAATATATATTCATCATACAGGTTAAATAAATAAGGAGAGAGTATACAGCCTTGTCTCACTCCTTTGCTAGCCTGGACCCAGTTTGTTTCATCATGTTCTATCCATACTGTATTTTCCGGACCCGTATACAGGTTTCTCATGGGGACGAGATGTTGTGAGATCCTCATTTTTCTAAGCATATTCTATAACTTGACATGATTGACACAATCAAATGGCTTACTATAATTAACGAAGGCAAATTGACTTCTTTTTGGTATTCTTTCACTTTCTCAGTTATCCAGTGTGCTTCAGGATGTGTGATCCATTTTGGGGCTCCTGGGTTGTGCTGCTGAAATTTGGCATCAAATTTCTGAATTTCAGCAGTGCAATTTTTTCACATTTGGGGACAAATTAGAGCTTTGCATGCCTTAACACAACCTATTCTGTACTGAAAAAAATATCACCTAAAGTCTTGTAAATGGTTTGAAATTAGCAAACCAGTTGTCATAAACCCTGTGCTTTCATAGACCCTACAAATAAATAAATAAATAAATAAAAAGAAAATATAAACATGAAGGGGAAAAAAATCCCCAACCATAATTTATACTGATATTATTATCAGCCTTTTCCTCAGCAGGCTGAGTTGAAATTAATGAAACAAGCCGAAAAGAATTCAACAACTTCAGATAATTTACTGCAGAAAATCTAAGAAGCCATTACAAAAGAATTCTAGCAAAGTCCAAGCTCTATTTAGAATAATCAGCGTGTAGTTTTTGTTTTTGATGGTTTGTTTTACATTTTTTTTTCCTTGCCCCTTTTACATAGAGGGCTAGAAGCAATTCTCTTTTGGTTGGGAATACAGTTGTCATCTGTTCTTTGGTTTGGTAACAGTCTGATGTAGTATCAGCTTGTTTCCTTAGACAGTGTGAGAAGTGCTTTCACAATAACTTGGATAATTTGAAAAATTCAGAAGCTCGCAATTTACACTTACATCATACAATTAATAATAATATTAACTGACACCATTAAGAACGTTGGCAGCATACAACCACTCTAATCAAATGATAAATAAATAAATGTATTAATGGACTTATATGCCATCACATCAGAAAAATCAGTCAAGGACAGTCTTTTCAAGATTTCAGTAACTTGACCCTCTCCTATCTCACTTTTCAACTACTTGATAATACTTTTTCATCATTGTTTGAGGATCTAACTGTGATAATGGAAGCTGAAGTACGTTTTATTAGCGGCATGGCATTCTCTTGGATTTGAAATCTACAGTGTGATTTGTTCTTGAAGGACATAATAATTGATCAGCAATACCCCTGCTGATCTTCATAGACAACTAGGGTAAAGCTCATTCAGTTGTGCAGTTCCTAATCAAGAAGTGGTGCTCAAATGGAAACATCATACAAAAGGTTTAAATTCAGTGTTGGACAAAAAATATTTATTCTATAAGTTTATTCTGTGTTTCTCTACTTCTTTCATATGCATGTTTAAAGTGTCCTAATTCTATGCCATTAAAACAACAAATATATTTCAGTGTACAGACTGTCATGATAAGAGGTACAAGAGGATTTTTGCTTTTGCTTCAATGGTACATCAGATAATCAGCCACCCTCCTTTACTCATTATATCATTATCTTTTGAGTAATGTAAACTTTGGTAAAACCTGTTTTCATTTTTTCCTTTTTATTCTTGCTTCTGCTTTTATCTGTTTACTTTAAATATTGTGTTTTGAAGTTCATAAAATATCCTTGAGTCTTTCAAAAGCATCATAACTTAAACAGCACACACAAAGCACCCCTCTTCTGCCTGGTCCTGTGTTTTGTTCCAGAATTAACTGATCCAGTCTAAGCTGTGAGAACAGCAGGGAGATGAGTGGTCTGGGCTGGAAAGAGTTTGGAAAAAAGCAGCCCAATTGCAAGCCATAAAACATTAGCCCAATTGCAATACTCAGAACAGCTGGAACACTCAATGTGGCAACTCTTGAAACTGCACACTTTTATTTCACGCTTCACACTGTTTTGTTTTATACTTGGAATCAAATTCTCAGAATATGAGTGTTTTGTTTCATAGAAGAAAACTCAAAATGGCTTTTTTTGGATAGGCATGTTCTGAGGTTAAATGGTTTTGTACATCTCTCCTGTTCATAATCCTGGGTTCAGTAGAGGGGGAGACACAACTTCAGTTGCCTTAACTATAGCTTTAAGAATAATAGTCTTTGTTATGGAAATTTCTGTATAGCTCTTCACTAGACATTATTTGGGCAGTCTTTCTAAAATAAGTTGTCCAAAATACAAATAAAGCATGTAGGTTTATGGTAGCATTGGTAGGCTTTAAAAGTATTTTATGCTGACATCCTTTGAACCTCTATTTAGTTTAAGTATATTAAATTCATTTGGACTTGCTTCCAGGTGAATGTTTATAGAATTGCAGCCAGTAACCCAAAACTTTGATAAT